TCACAGCAGAGAGCAGAAGGCAGGAGAGAGCAAAAGTACACGAGTTGTAGTTAGTGTTATAACTTGCTGTAAACATCACATGTAGTGGAAAAATCATGATAGCTAAAAATAATTTAACTTGGGATAGACATAGGGCTATGTGCCATTCTCCATCTGCGTGGCTTGGCATTTGTCAGCACTTGTCAGAATGCCAGGGGGTCTGCAAGAGAGCTATACTGTAAGCTTCACCTTGCTGGGTTAACACCTATGAGCAGATTTCAGTGTGATATCCGTATGCCATTTATTGTGGAAGGTAAGTGCAATGCAAAACATGTGCTTCAGGTTCTGACATTGTATCTTGACGCTGAAAATCTACCTCCCGTTTGATCAGTTTGCTAAAGATATATAGAACTTCCTGCAAATAGTATTTTTTTCTGTATTGTAGCTTATGGTGCTTTTCTGTTTTTGTTGTTTGTCATTTTCACGAATGTCACTCTCCTTGGCATAGGCATAGCTGGTATGACTTCTTATTTACATGTTATATTATTTTCAGAATAAATAAACCTTTTTCTAATTCACTTCCCTTTCTCCATTCCATTTTTTTGTTTGAGATTCTTGCAATCTTATTCGACCTTCTACAATCAGCAGAATTATGGTTGAATGACACATATTTTTTTTTCCTATAGAGTTTTTATTTTGTGGCTTGTTTACACCTTGTATACACGGTGAGGGGAGTTTATCAAAAATGGGGCAGGCAAAATCTGGAGCAGTTGTGCATTGTGACCAATCAGCTTATCTCGTCAGTTTGTTCAGTTAAGATTTGAGAATGAAAGCGAGGCTTATTGGTTGTCATGCACAGCTGCTCTAGATTCTGTCTGCTCCAGTTGTGTTGAATTCCCCTCGTTGTGATTAGTTACTCTGTGCACTCTGTGTCAGAATGTCCCATGTGTTCTAAAATACAGTCTAAAGGTGCCCACACACCTTACAATTTATCTGCAGATTTTCTGTGGTCAGATGGAAAAGGTGCAACAGATTCCTCCATCTACATTAAACTGTGTGGATGGAGAAATCTCCACAAATACTGAATCCCATGTTCTCTTAAAGGAGAATAAAATATACTCCTTCCCAATTAAAGCCGACGTGTGACACTGAAGCTGTCACATGTTGGCTCTATAGATTGAGAACTGATCAATCACAAACAGCTGATCTTTCAGTTCCCGTTCTTCTCCCTGCACAGATCGGTGGCTGTCAGTCATCACTCCCCGCAGG